GGCATAAAAGAATCAAGAGTCTGCAACGAAACCTAAATGCATGTTTACGGGTGGAAAAAGAGAGGAATTAACACCACCATCCACAATAATGTGAGCACGTTCTTCTCTAGGAAACGGCAGACCCTTTAGGTGGCTTAAGGTACAAACATCAAGGTGTTCGACGAGTATCTGCTTTGACAAACAAGAAACCACCATCAGGAATCAGAGAATGAATCACAGAATAGTTTGGGTTGGAAGGGACCTTAAAGATCATCCAGATCCAATTCCCCTGCCATGAGCAGGAACACCTTCCACTCGACCAGGGTGCTAATAATATTATAATATTTGACCAGGAGACAAATAAAACTGCAGTAACACCCCAGAATCCCACAATCCATCAGCATTACCAAACCCATTAGCACCTTCCCCTCAGGAATCTTGCCAGGACTCTCCAAAATCAAAACCTACAGCTGAAGCGAACGGACTTGGATCTTGATTTGTTTCTAGCAGGGAGTTACTTGCAGCGATTTCAGTGCCACACAGCCTGATTCAGCCTGGCTTGAGCGACAACAGTGTGTGCTCTTGCCGTGTCACAAAAACCAAACACGTGATACACATATCAGGGTTTCGATTTGTCTCCACACAAGGGGAAAAAAGAACCACAAGAACCAAAGATCAGTACCTCTGGAAAACTTTCTCCCGCTTAAGCAGCTCTTCCTACCTGAGCTGCCACCAGCAAGATACATCCACGTGCCATTATTAATCACAGAAAAGTCTTCAATAACGAGCGTTTTACAAGGCTCTTCTGACGCAAATAGAAGCAACTAGACTGTTCAAAGAACTTAAAATTTGATAAATGCCAGGCTAGTCTGAGGAATCTTCCTGGGAACAGGGAATTCTCACTACTTCCTTGAGGCAGAGGCTGTTTGGTTTTGGTTTAAACACACTCAACTCCTCCCCCTCTGGAGATTTCTGTTCCCGAGCCAGCTACTGAACTCCTTCTGCTGTTTGTTTTTCCCCCCTCCTCTCTCCTGTTTCTACCCCAAAACCCCAACAGGGGAAGCAGTCTCTCCTTTCCAGCACATACATGGGGTCGGGTCTGTCAGATGCGGGGTAGCTGTGTGCTTGGAGATGCCGTGACAGACGAATGGCAGCTCCGGACCGAGAGCTGCGCTGGCTGCCAACCGATCTCAAGTTTATCACACAAGGATGCTCACACCAAATATACAGAAACGGGAAGACTCTTCTGTTACAGGTAAAACAAACAACAAACAATCGTCCAAGAGACGCCCTGGGGAAACAGACACCAAGTAAAAAACAAACGGTGACAATTTTTTCATCCAGCCCTTGTAAAGGACTCTCGCAAGCCAGGAGCTCCCCCCCGGGGTCGGTAAGGCTTTGGTTGCTGTGCCGTAGCTGTAAACATGCAGCTATGTTTACAAACATTTTAACCTGGTGCTTCCAGGAGAAGAGGGATCACCTTAAACTCCATCTGCTAGTTGGTGACAAGAAAGGTTGCTTAAACCCAGATCCGAACAGCTCTCACACTTGAATTATGACTCCCGAAGCGCTCTATTCTAAGTAAACGTGTTATGACTCCAACATATGCAAGAAGACAACAGCACGAAGCGAACGCTGCCGAAGCGACTGCTGCCGAGAAACGCACAAGCTGTTCTCAAGCTGGAAGCCAGCGTGCGGAGGTCCCGAGGTCGCACCTGCCTGCAGTCACTTGACTAACAAGGAATCTCACGAGAGCAGGGCCAGACTCACAAACACAGCACAACACGAGAACCACGATAAACGCTGCTAAATGGGAGTATCTTCCTCTCACCCACACAAGACCACGGGGATCTGTTCTGTTTGTACAGATCATTCACACTCAAGTTTTCTGAGGAGAGGTGAAAAGAGCAAGTTTAGGATTAAGTTTTCCTGTTAATGTCAGGCCCACAGGCAGCTGCTCAGCTGAGTTTGCAGATAAACTGCCCCGCTGACAGCACAGACCCTCGCAAGTTCATCCGGCTGATGCACGGGCTCGTTCTTCCTGGTGTTTGTCTCTCTCTTCTGGCGCGAGGCATCTACTCCCCTGCTCTACGCAGTAACCGCCCCTGCGCTCATTCCAAAGACACTGTCCCCCTGAGCACTGGCACGGTTATCGATGTTCCCTTGGCAACTGTGCCACTCTGGGGAAGGTGGAAGGAAGAAAAACACCTCTCGGTTGTCACAGAAGGCAGAGCGGCCCAAGACCCGGTTTAACAGCCAAGGAATCCCGCAGGGTGGTTTTCAACCGGACCATCCAAGTGCCGATGACGAGCGCGATGTGGGAAGGGTGCCCTTCAAGAGGAGTGGCAGAATCCTGCAGAAACAGCTCTATGCCCCAAAAGAGCTGCAGAACAAAACAAGAAGTTTATACATAATTATATATATAAACTACACATTACACATCTCTAGGATCATAATTCTTCCAATGCGGCCTGGGATGAGAACGCTGCACGTTTCTTCTCCGAGGAAGACAAGGCGGCAGGTATGGGTAATATACGCTCGGACCAGTGAGGGAACATCATACGCAAGAGTCCCAAAACTGTGACCCTAACTCAAGCAAAGCTTCAGTATCCATTGCTCACGAGTAAAAAGGCAATGAGTAAAACAGGTAATACTAACACCGTGAGTTACTACACGAGTACAGGGTTGATTGTGCTCATTGTCCAACATCCCAATCCTCCGATTCCAGACGCGTTATTTTGGAACATAATTTGGTTTCAAAATGTAATCTTTCATTTCAGTGGGAAAAAAAAGATACATGCCTCCTGACTGCAGGGTGCAAAACTGCAGCTGCTCGATGCCATGGGCAGACAAGAGATAGAGACGCCCTCTGCCACGACTTCAAGGTGATTTCTGTTTTGCAAAAGCAGGGAGAGGGATGGATGCAGACACATAACTATTCCTCCCCCCAGCAGCATTACTTGCACGACTAAGGCACACCGCAAAGGCTCCCCACTGCTCCCCAGCAGGTAAGACCTGCCCACCAGCTAGCTGCAGCTTCTGCCTTCCAAACCATTTCACCATGAAATCCAGGTGTAGGCTAGAGACACCTTTAGCTACTAATTGTTTGGACAGCGTTTCATTTTATTCTTTGGTTTTCCTACAGCTGTCACAGGACTGTAAGACAGCATTGCACTAGGAAAACAGAAAAGGCTGCTGCAGATTTTAGGCCCAACTTAGATGTAAACTAGACCGGGTGGAAGCGGGTTACAATAGATATTCTGATTTAAAAACATTTAATCCCAGTTGGAAACAAGAATACGGTTACCTCTCAAAGTGCAGAAACAGCAAGATGTGTTTATTTTTCCACTTATTGGCACTTATTTGAAAAACAGCATAAATATTCAACAGAACAGAGACGAGTTGACGCAAGACAACCCAGACGCAACTATTAAAGGCCTCTGCTGATGCATCTTTTAACAAAGACTGGAAGAGACATCAGGAGGTTCGTTCTTAAGAAATAAGCAAGATTAAAAAAAGAAAGTCTTGCCCTCAGCCCGGCAGAGTGAACGCGCAGCAACTCTTTGGCACACATCTGGAATTGTGAAACGTAACGACGCCCTATTAGACCGAGCAAACCAATAGCAAACACGAGCTTGTCCATCTGCCGCCGGGCTGAAGGGCAGGCTGAATTTAAAAAGGAACAGCAGGTGGGAAGCTATTACAATAATTTATGAGGAATGAAAACAGAAGGAAGCCATGTCATATCTTACTTGAACCTAGTAAAACTTAAATACATCCTATTTTCTTTCTGTAACAAGGACACACCGAAACTGGTCGTTGGTCCTCGCACTCCAAGCTGTCCATTTCTAACTTTGATGGCTGCCGTCAGTCAAAGCTTCAGCCACGTGAGTCTTTCACATCAGAGTTCTTTTCTCCTTCTGGAGGAAGTTTCCATACTTTTCTCACTTTATTACACATTACAAAGATTTAGTGTTTAAAAATAAAAGATTCTGCTTCATTATTAACCTCTCAGGAGAGAAGGCCCGACACCCCATCGCACAGACGCACACACACGTACACATGGGACCCAGCAGGGCAGTTCAACTGCCTAACGGGAGTCAACAACCAAAACGAGGTTGCCACTGGAGAATCTGAAACAGCTGTCCACGGTGGGGTTCAGATTCCTCCTCCTATCTGGGGAATTCCAGAGTTGACAGCAGGAGACCTCAACCCACTGACTTTTCAGAGTACAAGAATTCTGAAAGAACTCAGCCGAATTCTAGGCTTCCAATCAGCATCTGAAGTTTTCAACAGCAGAAATAACTTGATGCCGTTGTTTGAGGAAGTGACATCAGAGGATTAAACATGTTTGATCGCTTCAGTCTGTGAAAAGGCATTCGAGATTCCTCACTGTGTTTGTCCAACAAAAGTCAGATATGAAGACGAATACTGTCTGTTACAATAACGCAGTTCTCAAGTACTAAATCCGAAAACCTCAGGATTTAATGTTTTTTTCAAACATCGTTACTGTTTTCCCCTATTAAAAGAACTTTAACAGAGCATCCACCACTCTAATAGGTCATCTAAAGGGGGCAGAAAAAGAAAATAATACAAAACCCCAGAAGAATGTCCTACACCTAGTTGGGATTTAGTCACACCAGCGTTCATGATCATGAATAAAATCCAACACATAAATTTGACAATTCACCAACTTGTTCTTTGACATCTATCAGAACGCAGAATCGATTAACAGCAGTCATACAGAATGCAAGAATCAATTCCCCCCTTAATATGAAGAACAAAAAAATGTAAATATCTAACACTCTGGGAATGAAAGCAAATTAGTAAGCTGCCTGACTGGTTTGAGAGCGAGGCCAAAAGTGAAGGTTAGCTGTTAGTACGTAAGCACCATGTTATGTTAGTGAGGACACTGCCTGCTGGCAGGTGAAAGCCGTCTTCCACAAGCAGGATGCACACACAGTATTTGTAACTTATGCCAAGAAGACAATACCCATTGTAAAACAACAGCTTGCTTCCTGATGTTAGCATCAAACATGTCTGCAATTCAAATGCTTACTGTATCTTAGTAAATGTCATACAAATCACTAGAAATGTGAATTCCTCCTCAAGGAACTATTCTGGAAGTTTTCTAGAAATAATGACATTTCTGGAAGTTCCTATGAGGAACAGAATCAGTTACACACAACAAAGTCCTGTTGGTATCCAGCCTGTTTCTCAGTGCCCATCAGCAGACCTCTGCGTCTCAATTAATAGGTAACTTGGCCGCAAGATCTACTGGTAAAAAAGGAGACCTGGAGTCAGAAAGCGAGACCGGGGAGTCTGTGTTGGTGCCGACTTCAGCTGGCGAGTCACAGGACGAGCTTGCACTGCTTCTGTTGTCATCAAGGGCGTGTGCTGACAGACTGAAAACAGAGTAACATCAAGATACAGAAATGAGGCACTCCTTCTGATAAGTTTCAAATACTAGCTTCCATGCATTATAAAGATGTTTCTGAAGGAACAGTAAGCCCTGTGATTTGAAATAAAACTCCAACTGCATACCTAGCAGCCACTTCCAGATAACCTCCTGCCAATTTCCTCCTTCAGCTCACCAGAAATGGAGTACTGACTAGAAGCATCGGGCTGAGCAACTCACGGCAAGCTTCACCCCGCCTCCTACAAGGCCGGTGCGAGCACAGCCTCTCCTGCCAATGACCAACTGCACGTGCTTCAGCTGTACCACTCACTGTGTAGTGCACAGATCACCTATAGTTACAACTGTGTGTCCCCTCATCAGCGATACCATCAAAGTGCTTTTTAAAATTACCATCTCCTAAACCCAGACGCAGCGGCTGAACCTGCACTGCTACCCCTATCGTGCACAGGGTGTGCAAAAAAGATGTCTTTAAAGTACCTTTAAAATGACTATTTGACTATTGCCACTGCACATCTATGTGTTACTAACCTCTTGACTGAAACACTAAATCAAAATCCCTTGCTATTTTAAGCTCTTACGCTTTTTTACGTAGCACTTCTCTCCCCCCAGCAGGGAGGGTCAGACACACAAATTTTCCTATGTGACTAAGAGCAAGGAAAGAAAAAGACAAAACCTAATCCACCCACAAGCATTAGCATTCATGTTCGATCACAACTCGAAACTAGGCTGCAAAACTTGCCAGTCACGAGGTATCTTTTCCTGAACATGCTCAATTCCTATGTACGTGAAGCACCTTAACAGTCAGCCCTAGAAACTCTAAGTACGTAGCGCGTCTTACTGCCTGCTTACTGGGATTTCAGTGCTGCACAGTTATGAGATGTCTGCATTAAAAAACGAACCAAACTCCACACACAGTCATCACTAGATGAGAAAAGACTTGCTCATGCTTCCGATGAAATCGACACCATAAATAGCACAGCATTTACCATCCCCCAAGGTCCACCTGATGGGAAACTTCAGGGGTAAGGATGCTGGTGGATCCTTGGAATAATCTTTTTGGATGATCTTCTACCTCTGTTACACCTTTGGTAAGAGATAAGGAGTGATAAATAAAATTACTACTCATTTAAACTGAAACCCACTTTCAGTGCACTCGTACAGAGCAAACAGAACAGAGGCTCGCGCTTGTTACAACAGATTTCAGTGTTGTTTTACATGTAAAACACAGAAGTTAGATGCTGAAACTTTAAAGACTGTCTATTTCTTGGCAACATTTTAGTCCAAGCTTCAGGAAAGTTTAGTGAGTTATGAACTGAGGTCTAGATAGCAGATATTTACTCTTCAGTAGGGAAGAATAGTTGTCTTGTGTCAGTTTATTCGGCTATCAGCTCACTGACTAGCTCCACCAAGGCAGAGAAGCTGAGAATAAGGAAACCTTGTTTTCCTCTTGCAATCAATAAGAACAAGCTCCAGGATTATCATTGAACTTATATATTGACTTTGCTGTCCAAATATACTAGAAAAGAGGATAGATATATGCCTAAATAGGCTGCGACAGAACACAGTACTTTTAAAGCTGTCTCACAGCCAGAAGCGTTCTGTTAAAGGTGAAGCACCAACATATAAACCCAGATGCAATAAAACAACCAGGAGTTAAGATTGAATAAAAATGCAGGAAGATAAACCTTTCCCAGTAAAGCTGTAAGGCATCTGCCAGGTCTCTGCATGAGGTTTTAGTTCTGAAGGGTGATTTTAAACCGACAGTACCCGTGTGCTTCAGTTAACAAATAGAAAGTTTGGAAAGTCCTGGCTAAGTTCAACATCACAATAGCTGTATTTCTTGTTTCGTTAAGCAGGTTACATTGGTTTTGTATCAGATCTCTGTGACTACAGCAAGGGAGAGGCGTTAGAACAGAACAACCACTGGTTTTATGGAATGGTAAAAAAAATAATCCAACAATTTGTTTTATCCCTACAAACAGTTCCATTTATTTGGTCATCTGTAATTCCTTCCATTTCTAGTCATTCTCTGAAGTATCAGCCAACTGAACAGAATTATGAAGTGAGCTGTATGAATTATTATAAAATTAATCAGTTGGCCTATTAGATTAGCCAAACCCAAACACTGTACCTTTTCTTTTTATTGACCCAAGAACACTTGGTCGTATGCAGTTGATCGGACTCTGGCTTCTCCTGCTAAAAGAAGGCACATGCTATACTGATATCACTAGTAAAGGAAGCCTGAAATCATGCACAGAATTCAAAAGACATTCAGATGACCAACCACAAAGTAGAGAACACTGAGATAACTGACAGTAAGACAGCTTATCCAAAATTCGTCCTTTTTAACTTTTTTCTTAAGAAAGGCCAGGAAGCATAGACCTTTAAAGTTTAATCCCATCAACTCACAGCTGGGGCAGTCTAACAGCTCACATCCAGGCACTGACCAGATCTCAGTTGATGGGCAGTACTTTGCTGAACTCATAGAATTTAATTGTGTTCTCACATCACTCACAACATCATCCAACGCAACTAAAACCAGAATCAGTAACAAAACCTAAACCTGTTTGTTTGGGGTTTTTTCCTCCACTTAAAATTCAATTCAATTACTTAAGATGTGGTAAGAGCAGTATAGAGACGATGCTGAGAAGACAGGTGCCACGACGCAGCCCGCTTCAACGTTATGACACAAGCATTTAACACATATTTTAGAGCATTGTAAAATCTAAAGTTGACAGGAATATATAAAGCTGTATTTGTGATCAGCAATCGGTGACATACATAACAAACTCTGGTATTTCAAACGCCTGCTCTAACAAGCCACACCAATTTTCCATTATTGATACGACCTGGCACTTACCTGGAAAATCGCCTTGTTGGGCTTGGGCTTGGACTTGGAGGTAACCCAGTGCTACTGACCAAACTTTGCAAAGATGGTGAGAAACATTGCTGAGAGCAAAACAGTTTGTTATTTACATATCAACACTGTATCACGCTCATAGAACAACCGATCCTTCTCAGAGGTAAATAACCAAACCACTGTGAATTTACAGAACCAGTCAATTTGGTCAAGTATGCAGAGATACCACTTCTTGTTACTAAGGAAAATAAATTACAAAATTGGACAGATTCCATTTTCATGCAGAATACATGCAAGCCGACAAGGATTTATTCTACCACAGTCTGCTTAAACAGACTACGGTTCATAAAATAAGAATGTATGCCCCTTTTTATTCCAAGAGGAGGGCAAATGAAGAATAAGGTTGTTAACCACAGATCAACAGTCGAGCACTCCACAGAAATGCACATCCACAAGATGTACAACTGCCAGTTGGTGTTTTCTGGTTTGGGCTTTTAGGGTTTCTTTCTTTACCCTCTAGTTTCTTGTTTGTGGTTGAGGTAGAAAGGAGCAGGTGGCTTAACCTTTTGCTATTCGTTTGCTTGAGTTTATTTAGCACTACTCAAGATAAAAGCCATTATTACAATGTTTTGCTCACCTTCCATATTCCTCTGGTAGGTGAAGGAGCTGGAGAAACTGGGACAAAGTCTACTTGCTTTGGTGATAATGGTTTTTCAAAATCATTGTCGCTCTGTAAACAGTACATGTAATTAATCTCATAAGTAGTACCTTAACATGAAAAGGACTGATTGGTGTGGAATTCAGTGAGATTCCAAAGTTAACCTCTATCATATTAATAATTTTTAGGTAGCCATTTATGAGTTTATGTTTAAAAAACAAACAAACCCAAACACAAAAGCCAAAACAACAAACCAAACAAAAAGCCTGAAGTGTTACGTGGTGAGTATCAGAATATGGAAGAAAATAGAAAATTTGCGCAGGCAGACATCCATGCAATTTTCTTTTGACATACCAGCTGATAATTCTATGCCTTGTTAGTGTGAACAATTGCTGATCAAAGGCAGCGATATACGAACACCTTAATTATAGGCCAAACCATAAAAGAAAATATTTACATGAGAGAGTCTCTAGAGTCCAGATACTGATGACAGAAACACAAATTAAAGCACAAAAGCATTACCAGGCTCAAGCTCTCCTCCCACGAGTGGCTCATCTGCATCGCTACTTGCACTTCTCTACAAAGAAGAAAAGAAATGTATTGTCCCAGGCCCAGAGAAGGCAGCAGTCAGAGTTCCAGTCTGCCTTAACGGTTACCTTTCGTGTACTGTTTCTCTGTTCATCAGATTCATCCCTTCTTCCTAAAAGATTAACAGATGAAAAATTAAGACAAAGGAAAAGCAAGCTTTGCTACAGTAAATGAGAAAAGCTCATTTTGTTTCACTTCAGCACATGGAAAATTTATTTCACCTCGGTTAAGCAACAATAACCTTAAGCTCTCAGTTCATGAGAAAGGTTGGAGGGGGAGAGGATGGGAAAGAGATGTAGCAAGACAGGCCATCACACAAGAAGTGCTGATGGGAGTTGGTTGTTTCTCAAGCAGCTTTTTAATTTTCATTACTATCCAAGAGGTAGTTATAAAACTGAACAGTGATAACACAAACCAAACATTTTGCACATGTTAAAGTATCTTTATGCAGTCTAGTATAGACACTAGAAAATACAAATACTGGGAACTGGTACAGACAATCCTCAAAAGCATGACTGGATCCTCACCTTTTCCTTATCCTATGTATTAGTAATTAACTAGACTCTGACAGCATCTCCTGGGCAGTGCAGTCAAGTTTTTTTTAATAAAAACCTCCATCAAAATATTATTAAAATGGACCAAAGGTGTAACATAAAACTAACCGTTAACACCAAGTTAAAGTACAAACTTGACACAACCCCCACTTAAGTATGCACCTTTCCTTAAAACGAGCTGAATACTGCCCAGTCTGCTGAGTGAATTAACAGGTTCCCTAATTCAGTCCAGTTCAAGAACAGAAGTTCAGCCAAACATCTTCACAACTTTCATCGCATGTAGGAAGAGTCTTAACAACGTAGTTCAACTGTGTGATTATTTGCTAAGATTTGAAAAATTTCAGAAGTAAATCACACATGTTCCCATCTGTGCCAGGAGGTATACAGGACATATTAATCCTAAGCTTTTTTATATTGTTAAAAACAGCTCTACAACTGACCCGGGTGCTTCAGGTAAATTATTTACATAACAAAAGCAAGCAGCTATTTTCTTCAGGATTACTATGCCTGCACCTTAAATATCTGAGGTGGGAAGCAGAAGTACCTTCCAACACTTCACACAGTTGTACCCTGAAAACACTGTCCGAAGCAGTAAACAGTTTTCTTGACTTTTCACCCCGTAAAAATCAAGCCTGTCCATTGAAAACTAGCAAGTTAAAAAAAAAAGGTATATTAAAAAAAAAATCAAGCCTCTTGAAGACAATTTTATAAAGATTCTAGTGTCAAAAAGCCAACATATAAAGTGGATGAACCCCAAGGGTTTGAGCTCGATTTTAAAATGTGAGTCTTTAGACTGTGGTCTGTTGTCTGGTAGCAGCGCTATTTAAGCCTACTCAGATATTTGCCACCCCTCCCTTCTTCCGTGCCTGCTCTTGTGCCCTTCCCCCTCCACTCACGCTGTGACAGCACAAGTACAGTGACCCGGGTAAGAAAAGTACACAGATGAAAACCAGCTCAGACAGAAGAGTCCAAGCTATTTTTTAGCCAGAGCGCTTCCTTATCCAGTTCATCTGGCTGCTCAGGCGTCTTGTGCCAACACAAGCTAAGGAACACTTTGTTATTGGCCCTGAATATTTATGTTGGCGCTACTGCCAAACACTTGGTGGAACTTTACCCCAAGGATTTACATTAAAGGTTTCCCTTCTAAAACATCCATTTTAAGATTTCTCTTTCCGCTCAAATCTTCTTCTTACTAGAAGATACACTTTACTTTAGGAGATGTAGACCTCTGCAGACAACATACAGCTTTTGTTTTTGAAAACACCCTGATAAGGCTGCTGCAGACTCTGCATTACGGTTTCTAAGCAAAATCTATAGGCATTTGAAGGACATTACACATCAACTGCAAAAAAAATGACCACCAATACCTTACCTGTTTGATTTGATGAAGACGGCTGCTCGGAATGCGGATAGGAGATGACGGCACAAACTGAAAAACAAAGCCACATACAACTGAAACACACTTAGAAACTACAGGAGAAGGGAGAGAAAGGTGCAGGAACATTAGTAACCACTCTACAGTGGTACCCCAAACTAAAAAACACGTTGGTTGGTTGTTTTTAAAAAAACAGCATTCACAACATTCCCATATATACATAAAATACATTAATTACTTGCAAGAACATGAGAGTATGTATTCCCATATTATACTGCTTCGTACACTCACAGATGCTAATTGGTATCAGCCTGCCTTTCAGTTCATTTCCAGGTGACTAGGACTCTCAGCCTTCTCTATGGAATGAAGCTGCTTTTAACTAGCACGCTGCCACCCTTAATATAAACATTTTCATTTAAGTGATCCAGAAGGCTCCACAACAGATCATTTAAAATACAAAGCCAAAACCACACTTTGTGCAAAAAGGTTTCTGGATTGTTGCCTGCCTATAAACAAGTAGTTTGACAGATTAACTCTTTGCTAGCCTTCTAATAACTGTTATTTTTAAATACCTTCCTTAAGGTTTCCCAAGAGCTTCTCCAGTTCAGCTTAAATCAGTGGGGATGTAACTAAAATTGTCATCTGTTAGTTTTGACAGTTTTGCATCAAGGTCTCACTGGAATACTACGATCTAAAACAGCATACTCAATCAAAACCAAGTAATTAAAAGTGATTATTTTCTCAAAATATTATTTCCTTTCATATATTTCCCATCCCTCAAACATTTGACCCTCAGTTGACTTTTGTCAGAATCCACCCAGGGGTCAAAAATTCCAAGCATTAGTCAGAGAGGTTTAACAACAACTCTAAGTCTGACAACCCCTCCTCCAAAAACCAAGGTGTCTTTTAAAGACTTTCAGCAAGTAAGGTTTGTATTATTACTAAGTGCTTATATACTTTATACAGTATGAGGCTTTCTCAACTTCACAAAACATTACTAGAGCTCTTCATTATGCTAAACTTGGAGCGACGCTGTGGATGCCTCATCCCTGGAAGTGTTCAAGGCCAGGCTGGATGAGGCTTTAAGCAACCTGGTCTAGTGGAAGGTGTCCCTGCCCATGGCAGGGGGGTTGGAACTGGGTGATCTTCAAGGTCCCTTCCAACTCAAACCATCCTGTGATTCTAACCAACAAACACCAAGTTAACTGCTTGCTGCACCATCTTCTAATCACTGGCAAGGAGAATATGAAGCTTTTGCTGTCTGACAAAAGGTTATGGTAAGTTATGACAGACCATTAATGCTTCATATATCCAGAATCCTCCCTCAAAAAACCCCAAACATCAAGACATCACATCCTTTTTCTCCCAAAAGGTGTTAGCCTATCGCACTCACACAGATGATGTCCAATGTTTGTGCCAGAATTCAGTCATTCTAAAGTCTATAACATTTTGATTTACTACTTCTGAAGTCCACTTCAGGTCAGCTTTACTATTATACTGGGCTCCCAAAAATCCTGTGCACCTAATAAAAATTCCTCCAAGCTGTACCAAGCAATGCAGACATTCAGTTGACCTTGATTCTCACACAGAGAAAAGGATCTGGACAATAGTACATTCCTGCCTATTCACTGCCACTCCACAGCAGAAATGCATTTGTTCCACTCATTATATTCTAATTTTATGACTGTGATCCACGTACTTTAAAGTTTGACATTAGTAGAATATATACAAACCAGTGGCTTGCAGCGTAAAATAAAAATTATAAAAAGACAGTTAAGTGTTCCTCTGCAGGATCTAATGCACTAACTAAACCCATGAACTCTGAGGATCCTACATCCCATCTCCAAGAAATCATGATCCTTGCTTTGTCAATGCTTAAAACACATTTTCCCCCTGTTTGTAGTCCTTTAATTCTTGCAAAAAGAAACCTCAGTCACCTTTTAAAGGATACCTGCTAAAGCAGACTGAACCCATTTGTTAAAATTATCCTATTCAAATCCCCAGTGTTTTAAGAGAGCACAAACCTTACTAAAAGCCATCACAAGCTATTAAACTACCACATGGAAGAGAAACCCCTTTCCCGTCCTCCCTTCTCCAGTGTATTAGATAAGCTTTTTCACGGGAGGTGAAGTTTCAGGAGTGCCAGTTTGGCTGGCAGCACAGCCAAAGTAAGCAGTCCCCTGCCCCGGCACCTCTGCCCTTCCACTGCTGCCCCTACAGTGCCCCTGTCTTCTGCCAACACAAGCATTGGTGGGGCTGCACAGTCCACCTCAACAGGGAACTTTGCTAGCTTAAGAAAAAACATAAAAATAATCGTATTTTGCTGAAACAGTACCTAACCAGCTAACCACAGGCTAAACTGCCTTGCTTGAACATCAAAACAAACCCCTCAACCACACAAACGAAACATTTACTCCCTAGCTACCACTGATACCTTCTGGAAGGCAATGAACAGCAGACACTGAGCTCAGATGACCCTGCCCTGGCTTTACATGCAGTGGCAGAAAATCACAGCTTAAGACCCTTCCAAAACAGCATAGCTGCCCCTTTAGTCATCACTGTAGGAGTTGGAGCCTGAGACTTAGAGAAGCTACTCAAAAAAAGATTTTAGAACCCAGCTGACCAACTGGGACAAGCACAACAGCCCTGAAGATGGAGCTAGATACTTGGCCTTCAGTTTAGCAGCATTTTAGCAACACCCATTGTTACCATGACAGTGAACACAACACAGACTAGACAAATACTAATCTTTTTTTTCTTTCCACAAAGTTTAAACAAAAAATAAAATTTTCCCTGTACTTATAATGTTAAATTAACAAAGTTTCAGTCACTTACTGAATCTTTTAATCCCCCCTGTTAGACTTTACACTGCAACAAAACCTGGATTAGTTTTCCTGAATACAAAAAAGTGTGTTTTAAAGTACATTTTATCACCTATTTAGTGTAAAATTTCATTTACCCTGTCATCTAGCTCCTTAGAAACATAAAACTACACTTAGCTATAGCAAGAACACCAGGTGAGGTTGCTTAGGGTACTTCATGCAAAAGTGTAATTATTTGCACAGTCATTTACCTATGGATGATCCTGGTTTAAGACCACAGAAGGATGAGATAACCTCTAAACTCCTCACCAATTCCATCCCTGCCATCTCCAACAGGACCATAAACCAGACCCTCATTCAAAGACGTATTTCAAAGCAGACAAGGCACTGATCTAGCAGTCAATGGAGCACTTGAGTTTTAGCGCAAGGAAAACTTCACCTGTGTTTTGTCAGCACCTGGTCAGATGGGAGTTAATTTTCAGGATGCTTTTTAATAACTTATTGCGAGGAGAAGAGTTAAGAACATCATCCCATAAAGATGGCAACACTGGTTCAATCCAGAAGACTGCAATATCTATTAGGGGCAGCCAGAAGAGCTAGCCCATCAGTGAACTACCTCCTGCTTCCCAGCAAGTTCCAGGCGATGCACCTTAAAGTAGCATTTTTGCCCAACAACTGAGGACCTTCAAGAAGTAAACACAATAAACTGAGCTTTCACCTTAGCTTGTTTCTCCTTTCAACTGACCACAAGCCTAAACAAAGTTACCTTACGCTGCCACTCTAAGAATACAGATGAAGGAGACTGTTGTTTCAAGACATCTTTACCATGATACATTCTATCGGGTTTTATGTCCTAGCAGGAGAAAGGCTTTTCCACCAATCTTCCCAGAGTTTTACGTAAGTGTCTCGGTTCTGTCACAGATGCAAACCTTTGCTGAAGTAGTTGTCTGTCCTGACTTTAAAACAGAATTTTAGCTAAGGGGCATCAGTCAGAAAATAGAAGAGTAGTATTCTTCTAATATGGGGGACTAATGTAGAGTAGTATTCTTCTAATATGTGGGACTAATGAATTATTTGTAAAGCATCTCCAAAAGATAACTAAGAAAAAACAGGATAGTTGCTGTTAGCGTTACAGGGACTTTGTCTTCCGTATGTAAAAGAAAATTGATACTACTTCCCTCCCACCTAACATAGCTTAATTTTTCTAAAACATTAATAATTAAGTGAATGCAGTTGGATGTTATGTTGTGACTCCCTGTTTCTTAAGGCTGTCCTAGGGGAAAAGTCAAATTTCTGGTCATCCATGAAAGCCTGACCAAAACCGCCTTTTGGTTAGAGGAAATAACTACCCCACGCATCCTAATCCTTTAAAGGTTAGCACCCCATGCTGTCTGTGTGACCCTGTGCAGGCGCCCTCAATCAGTCAAAAATCACACCCTTCTACCACAATTTGTACGATACTAAAACACAAGTTATGCAATATTCTCTCTGTGTTCAGAATAACATTTTAAAAATTCAGATCTGGGGAGTTGCAATAGCAGAACTCTGACAAAAGCAGAAATCACAAATGGATGACTTTAAGAAATACAGAATCATTCATCTTGGAAGCCTTAAGGTGCGTGTTCTATAAGCCTGTTATGTCTTGTTATATCAGTTGTTGAATACCACTGCCTATTCTGTCATTACTACATGACAGACAAGATCAGAACATAACTGCACTTCTAAATTTTTTTATCAAAAACAATTAGCATGCTGCTTACTGAACAACACATCTACTTATCAGTTTTTCTTGTGAACTACCTTTCTTTACCTCAGAACATCTGCTTGCATTTTACAAAGTTATGATCATAATGAAATATAAGTACTCTCCAAGGCCAAATGGTCTATAAATAAAATTTCACTATAGCTACAGCATATTAATGTCCCAGTTTAGATTCTGAAAACATGCGGTCTAAGTTTCACAGACTACAGTCTCATTTTCTTCTTTCATCCTGTTTGCACACTTCTGCTTTGGGCCTAGTGTGGTTGGTCTAATAGTTTTCTTACCAGACTATGACGATTCATAACTGTGGTACTGTTCCTGCGGGTTCGCAAAACGTTAGCCTGGAACACCTGTGAATTATCGCTGTGGAAAGAAACACTTGTCAAATGCAAAAGCCATTTCCTTCCTATCAAAAAGTACCTCTTAATATAAGGTCAGTTCAAATGCTCTGACAGCCATCATTTCAAGACAAAGCACTCGAGATACAGGTATGTAAGAGCTCTTTTAGCTTGTTGGCAGAGTGGAAACCAAATTGCTCATCCCCCGAGCCCCAGGTACTTCAATTAATGACTTTAATTAATCACATTGAATCTTCAGACTAACTGAAAAGTTGAGACTGCTCATTTCTGTGGGTATTGATGATATTTGGAATGGCTGCAGATTGCATATGGCTTTGAACAGCATTCAACAGAACAAATTTACAAGTAGGATACAACCAGTAACTGAAAACAGCTTCAATGCCAGCCATAAAACAGAATAAAAAATATAAAATAACTTGATAAATTTATCACTCTGAACATTTAAAAAGTTCTAAACTTTTTTGCAGGAGGGGTTAAATTAAACACAGTAAAACCAGTTTTTAAAGCCCTAAGAATTTTGATCACCATCACATTTCTAGCCGGGAAGCAGTGCATCTGTTTAAATAACGCAGGATTAGTTATCTGATATAAAACAAGCTCCTTTCTCAAGGCAACTTTAGTTCTACTGATTCCTAAAGCAAGTTTCTGTAGTCATCACTGGCGTTATCAACAGCCAGTGATCAGTACTTAATGAATAAGACTGAAGAAATGAAGTTTTTACGGCCACTAGGACAAAAGTTTTGAGCCACAACCCTACAGTCCCCATGCCTAAAAGTCACTGAGGAACTGCCCAGGCAAACAGATCCAGCCGTAAGGCTGTAATCAGATACACGTTACAAGAAGTCACTGGGTTGGATCATTTCGTCTCAGCTGCTAACTTGGGACGAACAACAGCACAACCAGTGCAATTTCTTAAAGCTGATCTGGCCAATAGTACCATCTTGTTCTAAAGGTTGATAACCATAATGCACTTTAAAGACACATCAAACACAGTCCTCCAGTTTAGAATGCACCAGTTAGACACGTAAGTTTTAGACAGCTTTTATCTAGCTGTAAATAAAGAGTAAAAAAGCATATACTGTGAAGCAAAAGCCGATAGCAACTGGCATAAGCACTGTGCTTTTCGCCAAGGAGAATGTGTTGACTCTTCCTCTAAAAGGTCAAGTACAAATGACCAGGCATCTTTTACAATTTCCAAGAAGTTTCACTCAGTTTACACCCACAAGAGATCAAACAGTTCCCATACGATAGGAGGTGTAACAGGAGAAATTTAAGTCGTCTACAACATGATGTTTGGAGATGAGATTTGCACTGAGGCCAACAGATACCACTCCTTCTTAGTGTAAGTGTATAGGTTGGTATGCAAACACAAAGTGCATCCTGAAATCCAGGGTTTAAACCAAGAAACAGGTTGGAATGATACCATACACATTACCACAAGCTGAGTCCAATATTCAGTGAAAAGTAGAAGAGAGGGAGAGTAGAAAACCCCAACCTACATTATTCTCACCTTTAATCTCCCTTAAAAAACACCAGAGATAGTCAGAGCTCAGACTTACCTTTCACAGAAAATTCTTACAGTTCCCATTAAAAATAAAATTTATTTGGCATGAAAATACGAATCAAAAGTTCTGTGAAAGGCAACTTCTGTGATCTAAAATATTACACTTTAAGATGTTCTCTGGCCTTACGGTAACTCATTCGCCAAGCTCCTTACTAGGTCTGTTAATGAAGAAGTCAAACCAGGAGGCAGAGCAGAAAAAGCAAGCTGTTCAAGAGCATGAGCTTTTGTTTCAGTTTACCCAACAAAGCCATTCTGGGAAAAACTGATGTTTCTTGCCAAGAGTTGCAATCTTGCAAAAACAGTATTCTGCTGGAAAATTCCTAACTAACAGGCAAACCACTGCAACCACCTCAAATTACTTCAATGGCGTTTCAGTTTAATTTGCATAATCACCTAATGCATAGCGTATGCACAGTTTCAAGGCAAGAGCTCAGGCTTACCCTTCCACTTGCCCAAACCCTGAATGAAATAACTTGTTTACACGGTTATGGGATGCTTTTTTAATTTGTTGAGTCAATGGTCTCACAGTTTATAAGAAACAACTTATAAAAACATCTTATAAAAACTTATAAACAACTTATAAAAACAACTTATTATAAAAACATCTCTTCTCAGTTATATCATTAGTTCACCTGCTCAGAAATTTCCCTGAGGAACAACTGCCATTTGCAATACTTCTATACTGCATGGAAAAGTAAACTGATAGTTGTTTCATTACGATTAGGTAAAAGAATCACCAATATGTTTACTTAACATTAAATTGGGACTTAAGAAGCAAGAATTAGTATTTCCTCTGAACTGTAATGTACCGTTAACCATTTGGGTACAAAAGATTTATGAAATTTGTTCCTCATTTGACATCTAGCTCCTTACAAAAATATTAAGTTAAAAAAGAAAAAAAAAACCACACACAAAACCAACCCAGAAAATACCTGTGCTTTAGAAAGTTTATTACTAATATGCTCTCCCAAACTGCACATGTATTACTAGCAGCAGCACATGGACTACCTTGAAGTTAGATGGCAGCAGATGGGAGCATCTCCCAACTTCACAGTAGCCCAGAGAAGGCAACACTGTTATAAACTTACCCAAAACCAAAGCTATACAAGAGACCATTACCTCTGAGCTCTCCCCCTAGCACTTGCCTGGGACTGCACTATCTCTGCCCCCTCAGCTGAAGGCAGCTAGACCAGGAACACATGGCAAACATCCAACCCCCCTTGCTAATACCACAGGCTGATGACAATACCCAAGCGAAATAATCTGCACAACTCTCTGTTTCTCCCAACATCACATTCTAACGAAACTAGTATCATACAGAAAAAAGTTCCAGGACAGCCGACACATTGTTTTACACTACATGTAAAAGTTACGTATCTTTCAAGGTCTCATGAAGTTATCCTCTTCACCGAACTCACCCCATTGTTCTGAAAGCATTTATTGTTGTAATCACACGCAAAGCAGTGTTTTTTTTTTGGGGGGGGTCAGACTTGAACCATTTCAGAAATCACAGAGATTGTTACTTTATCTACATAACAGCCGCAACCTTGACACTGCACACTGAATGGTTTTCAGCTACACAGCAGACCTGGATGAAAACAAACCGCTTTAACAAAGCTACAGTACGTCTACCCGGGCTTTCTGCCCCCCCTCCGCACTTAGAGGGATATCTTGCCTAAATCTCACCCCGGCAGGGATGTCCCCGCTTGGGACACCGGGCAAGAATCCACGTTTCCCCGCACGCCCGAGGTACCCAAAGCATCACCCTCGCTTTGCGCGGCGGGACGGGCGGTGAGAAGCACAGCTCCCAGGCCGGCCTGGACAAACTCGGAGCGACCCCCGGGGCTACAACCGGAGCGCCCACGGAGCTCGCACCGGACACCGAGGCGGC